ATATATATATATATATATATATATATATATATATATATATAGAGAGAGAGAGAGAGAGAGAGAGAGAGAGGGAGAAATGTGCTTTGAAAGCACTCAAAATATACCCCATACTAATTTTAGTATAGGGTATATTTTGAATAATTAATATTAATTTTAACATTATATCATTCAAACAATATTCTTAGAACTCGTGCTTGTGAGTTGAAAACACATTTTGTCGAATATAAGATAAATTTATTCTGTGTTAATTATTTAAAAAAAAAATGTCTTATCTGGTAATGGAAAAAATTGTTTGTATCTACCTTTTTAAAGTTCCTAAACATTATGTATATCAAATACTCCGAAATACTATGTAGACGACAAAGTGGACACTATCGTATTTATAGAAAGTAAACTGGCGTCGATATTTAATGGCTAATGTGTACATAAAATATGACTTCTATAAATACTCTTAATATCATTAGTAATAATAATATTTGTTGTTAACCCGGTTTTTAGCGTTATAAGCCCACATATTTACTGCCCGAGCCGGGGGCGGGCTGATAATGATATAAAACCTAATTTATATTATGCACATATCAACATATTTTTTATTATCGGTAGATATCTTAATCAGGAATATTGTGTAAGTACTGAGAATCATGCACGAAAACGCTAGTGTCAGGATTTATGAAGATTGAAACGTCCACGAACTGCATATGAAAATAACACTGGAGTCGATATTTAGGAAGATATGAAAGACAGCATGTAGTTTGCGCATAAAATGTATTACTGGTGATATTGATAAAAACAAACCATGGTACATTGGATCATTAACTGTGATGGACTTGTATTTAAAACTTGTGGAAAAACTCGGTATTTGTATTATTAAGAACTGCTCTGTTTCAGGATAAAAACTGTTTAATCCATATTACTAATGTATTGAAAATAATTTTAAACGAGTTTCAAGAGATGAAATTTCGATTACTGAAAACATACGCGTACTGCGGTGTACACCGAATAATAACAGTGAGAAGGTTTTTATAGCTCAAGGCCAGTTAACGCCTTGCGTAACACTAATGAGTCTAAAACATTGTTGCTGTTTTTTTTTGTTGTTGTTAGAAACTTTAATATTTCTTTATAACAACGCCAACGAAATAGTTATTTTTGTGTAAGGGTGTATTAGAAGTAATTTGAATGCCATATTTGATAGCGTTTGAAATGGAATAACCATAAAAAAAAAAAGATTTTCTTATAATGTTACCACACCCACTTGCGCTTCAATTTCCCGCCAAAACTTGTTGGCGGGTTGGCGAGTTTGTAAGTGAACATAGCGATGCTTTCGTGAATAGTGAATACAATGTTTAGTAAGGTAAGGTTTTATTTCAAGATTTGCCCTTTATTTTCACTTAGATATAAGAACTGGGATTAACATATTATTGTATTTCCTAGAGAGAGGAATATTGAATAGTTAAGTGATAAATGTCTTTGGAAATGTTGTCGTACATACTGGTAGTTGATTTGAAGAAGGCTTAATAATACTAGTTTTATTATTAACGTATAGAGCTGTCTTTATCATCAAGGTTACGAACAGGCTTTTCTCAAACCTAAGCCTGAGGCTATAGTGTTAGTAAAAACTGGTCGAAACTGTGTTTAATCTTTTTATGGCATACTTATCCTGAAGATAAAATATCATAAGCTACTTCACGATAAAAGCAAAATAAATGCTTGTAGATATTTTAATTCAATATCCTATAAGTCTTGGTTTTTAACTCATCTCCATGTGAATATGAAAAGTGGAATGAGGAGGTAAAAGACGTTTCGGGAGTCAGAGACGGCCACAAATTAATGAACGTTTAAGAAGACCTTTTCTAGTGGAGTGTATAATCGTTCTGATATAAAGAACATTATATGCTTTATAAAATCGATTTAAAAACAGAACTTTTTTTTTCAACAAAATTGTATAAGCTGTGTACTTGAGTATGATCTCGCCAGTGATTGAAACGTCGTACTTATTCTAAGAATAATCTTCCTTACTATGAAAGCTTTAACTTGTAATAAAATAAAACTTAATCAGCATTTAAACTCAAAACGAAACTATTAAGTTATATCTTAGTTTTAATAAATAAAATAGTGTTTGAGATTCTTTTTATTCATTCTGAGTAAAGTTTTATAATTTTTCGTCTTTAACGTTTATCTAAATTCTGTTTATCAGAATAATTAACAACAAACGTAGCTACACTAGCATCAGAAGTTATGGGATAATGTTAGAAAACCTAGGGCGACAGTGAGGATCTGAGGCTTTGAAAATGTTCCATATTGTTTAACTTTGTTTTTTAAAGGTGTTTAATGCGAGGCATTTAAAAAAACTGTTGCATTGCTATAATTATTACTTTATTGTGAATTTATAAAAACTACTGGCGTATAAAATTTCGTGAGATAGCTTTAGATTATATAACCATAATTATCAAATTTAATGAATACAGGATGTATTCGTTTTTATCTATTAATAGTTAACATTAGTGTTATTGCTAGTCAATAAATGTTTACCGACTTTGAAATTTTTGTATAATAGGATGATCGTAAGTAATTTCTTTTTCTTCATATTAATATTAAGTATTTGAACTGAATGTTAGGGCATATACGGTGTCCGAAAATTATGTACGTATTACAAACATAAGCTACGACAAGACAGTTAACAGCTACGAACTTATGGTTTGTAGTAGAGATGAAAAGCACATAACGCATATACGGTCACCAAACATAGCGATAGTGGAGACTGTGTGTATCATGTGACTAGTAGTAGAGATGAAATTATCTTCTCTGTTTCAAAGATAATATCGTAGGGTGTATCACTGTATAGAAAAGAGCTAAAAGTTAAGATTCTTACAAGAGTTACCGACGGTTTAAAGAGTCATCGTAGATAATAGTTACACATGAAAGGAGTCTCGGTAGGCTGAATCCCTGTCGGCCGGCACTGTCGTCATACCCTACTCCTCTAGGCGTATGTGAAGGATATCGTCTGCAGGACAAAGGTGACTGACTGATCTGGGGACACTGTGTGAACGGATCACCGATGTATTAGCTACTGTGGCACCCAATAAGTTGGCCAACACATAGATAGAATTCGAATATCGTCTCAATATTTTGAGTACTACATGGAAGTATACTGATGGCAAATGGAGTGTGGCAAAAACTTCATAATATGTGTGCCGTTCATCCACCACAAACCACAATTTCGTAATTCTTACTGATTTGTCGTGGTTTAAGTTTGTAATAATTTGCATAATTTTGGGACATTTTGCGTTTTAGTATTATTGATTTAGTTAAAAAAAATAAATGTCAGTGTTATGCTCAGTCTTTGTAGATAATATTGTATTCGTTTCCGCAGCAAGGCTTGATAAGTAAATATTACATTCGGATGTTTTTTTCAAGAATAATTTGGATATCGATATCTAGGGCTTAAACTTTAAAATAATTTTTAATAGTGGTGTTTTGCTTGTGACACACGTTTTTCAATTAAGGGATATAATTAACCCTTTAATACTGAATGTAAGGTGTTAAATAACACGAGGACTTTAATACAACGTAAATTTTATCTTTTTAAATATATTGAACGTCCGTTTGTGATTGTAATGTAAAAAATTACTCTGTCAATTACCCATAAATGAGCTTAAAAAAACAAAAACGGATGCTGTCAAATAAAACGAGAAACATGTCGACTTCGTATCTTAAATACTCAACAAATGTGTAAATAGCATTACACCGATAAATTTAGCTTTCATAGAATATTATACACGTCGTATAGACGGAAGCACTAAGCCTATAACAGCCGATTGAAGTGCGTACTGTAACGCGAGGGCTAGGCCTATAAATTATAAAACGGCAGATTAAAACCATTACTGCAACCAAATTGGGCAACATTTTTGTAGATTTTCTTACAATAACAAGTAAAGGAAAATTAGCTTTCAAATGATAA